TGGCACCGTCACTGGCACCAGCGCCACCATCTCTGGCAGCGCTGGCCCACACGATGACTTCTTCATCGGCGTCGCTGCAGAGGCAAGCAGTGGCGCCACATACACGCTCTCCATCGCCATCACCTGCCCCACCGTTTCAACTACACAAGCTCCAGCAACCACGACAAGCACTGCGGAGAGCCTCTGTGCCACTCGCGGCTGCGGCAGCGTGGACCTCAACGCAGATTGCCAGTGCGATCCCGACTGTTTCAACTTTGGGGACTGCTGCTCCGGTGCGTACGCGAGCATGTGTGGGAGAGCGATTTTGAGTGTGTGTGTTTGTGTGTGTGTGTGTGTGTGTGTGTGTGTGTGTGTGTTGATACGTACGCATGTGTCGTTGCACGCGCGCGCAAGTGCTCGTGAAACTTCGTGTATGTAGCTCCACGTCTGTGAACATGCTCTTTTGCTGCTTTGTCGACTCTGCCACTTTCTTTTGTCCCTCAGCACTTCCAACCACGTGCACTCGCCCTCAATCTGATGCGGTTCTCTTTGTTTGTTCGTGTGTCTTCTTTACAGACTTTGCGACGTTGTGCGCCACAACTCAGGCGCCCACCACCACCACAACAACGGAAGCCCCAGTGTCCACGGCTGCACCCGCAACGCTGACGGGTGCCACACCGCCCGCAACAACGACAACGGACAACACGGACGCCACCACCTGCGCTGTTCGAGGCTGCAGTGACATCAACCTCAACCAGAACTGCCAATGTGATCCAAGTTGCTATTCGTTTGGCGACTGCTGCGCTGGTAAGTCAGTGTCTTGCTTTCGGTGTTGGGTGATTCAAGAGGAGGCCGCTTTGCGCTGTCTGATTTTGCTTGCTGAACAAATTGGCCGGCCATACAAGCTGTGTGTGCGTGCGTGCGTGCGTGTGCGTGCGTGCGTGTGCGTGCGTGTATGCGCAACCTGAAACTAGCTGGCTCATCAAACCTTTCAACGTGTATGTCATGGCTTGTGGTGTAATTTGTGTGTATGGCTGTACATGTGCGTGTCACAGACTTTGCTGCGGTGTGCGAATCGTCCACCACCGCTCCTGCATCCACGATCGCCGCGACGACCACCTCCAGCGGAAGTGGAAGTGGAACCATGACTATGCAGCCCAGCACTACCACTACCACCACAACAACCACCACAACCACAACCACGACCACGACCACAACGACTATCATGACCACAACCACGACCACCACCACAACCACAACCACAACCACGACCACGACCACAACCACAACCACAACCACAACCACAACCACAACCACAACCACAACCACAACCACAACCACAACCACGACCACAACCACAACCACGACCACAACCACCAGCACTACGACCACGACCACGACAACTACCACAACCACCACTACTACGACGACCACCACGACAGCAACAACCGCTACTGCATACAACGATCTCGAAACAAGTGTTGTCCGAATTAACTGCGGTGGCGGCTCGTTTGTCGACGAGCTTGGCCAAGTGTGGGCTGCAGACACTGGGTTCTCTGGCACGTCATTTGTGTTCAGCGTGGACGAAGAGATTACGGGCTTCAGGGCAGCGGGGCTGCAGGAGCTGTACAGGACCCATCGCTACACGAAGAAACCGTTTGACCTCACGTATCAGATTGCCGTGCCGGCCGCTGGTGGCTACGAACTTACGCTGTACTTTGCGGAGACATTTTACGACACTGCAGGCACCCGCTTGTTTGACGTTGTGGTGGACGGCACTGTAGTCGCATCCGCGGTCTCGTCCCCCGATGACGGGCAGGGCAGGTACTCTGCATCTGTTGTCACTACCACATTTGAAGCAGCAGCAGCGAAGACCCTCGTGATCTCGTTTAACCAGATCAACAAGCAGCCATTCATTTCCGGTATCGAGCTGACAAGCAATCCAGCAGGGACAACAACAACTACCTCCACCACCACCACCACCACAACAACAACAACAACAACAACAACAACAACAACAACAACAACAACAACAACAACAACAACAACAACAACAACAACAACAACAACAACGACGACGACGACGACGACAAGTACGACGACAACAACAACAAGTACGACGACGACAACAACAAGTACGACGACAACAACAACGACGACGACGACGACGACAACAACAACAACAACAACAACAACAACAACAACAACAACAACAACAACAACAACAACAACAACAACAACGACGACGACAACAAGTACGACGACAAGCTCTGGGTCTGGCTCAGGCACACTTTCGTTCAGCCCAACCACAACCACAACCACCACTTCGACGACAACCACAACCACAACCACAACCACAACCACCACTTCGACGACAACCACAACCACAACCACAACCACGACCACGACCACTACCACCACAACCACAACCACAACCACAACCACAACCACAACCACAACCACAACCACAACCACAACCACAACCACGACCACTACCACCACTTCG